CGAAGCTCAAATAAGGAAGCTCGTTGTTACCGCCAATAGGGCAAGCGAACGATAGGGACAAGCGAGTAGACAGGTTACCTAAAAGCCAAGTGCGAGTTTATTTAACTTCTACTCGATCGTCACGTTGACCGCGCACTGAAATCTGCACCAATCGCAACGCTAAACGCACTCGCTGTCGATGTGAAATAAACTTGGCATACAGTGCGGACCAATCACATCGCCGAACGCGGTCGATCAAGTAGAAGTTAATTAAACTCACACTTGGGCCTCTAAAGATAAGTGACTACCGACGCCCATGGACACCTCAACTCTAGAGTCATAATATGGTGTAGGCTTGTAATGTTAAGTCATATGTTTATAAGTAGTAGCTGGACTATGGGTACCAGCCCATGATAAAATTTAACTTGTATTATGGGTACCAGGGATCTCTCACAATACCTTGTGAGAGATCCTAGACAATGTTGTTACCACAACATTGTCTTCTTAAATATAAGTGAAGAAGGCAAGAACAAAATTACAAAACTAAACGAGACATGCTAGCAAAAATAATGTAACTTAGGTATAACAAAGCAAAGAATTTTAACATAAATCAATTTGATATTATTAAAATAAAAACCAAAAATAAAATAATCATAAAAAAAAACAAAGTCTAAATAAAGTGAGTAAAGCCTCTGTAAAAAGCTAGTGTTTTATACAACAAAGAATAAAAAAAGACAACACATAAAAACAAAAAACAAACAACATAAAAAAACTTTGGTAAATAAGATACATTTAAATTATTTTCAATTTGCAGATAAGGCAAGTGCGCGTAGGCGTTATGTCATAATTAGGATTTGTATATAAAATTATGTTAATATGTTGTCTCACCAAAATAAGATCTTAATTTATTAACGTACAATATCCTTTATATAAAAAATACGTATTATAAGTTAAATAAAAGACGAGTGTGCTTTAGACCACACGACTGAAGTAAAACTTCTTGGCTATGAGAGAAAGAGAGAAAGAAAATGTGTGTTCGCACCTCTCTCTCTGCTCTCTCTGTCTATCTTCACTAAATTATATCTCCTTCTCAACTTCCGTTCGCCTCGCCCGATCACACTTTTCGTAACGCTCTCATTACGCATTCACCAGCTTACTCCCCAAGTCAAGCCTGCGTAGAGAAGTTTTACTTAAAAATACATATTTGTTACATTTGCGTAAAGACATATATTGGTATAAGCTTTTGACTCATATATCAAATGACAAAAGTCATAATAAGTCAAATGTTTCAATATACAATTGTGATTTAGTAGCATGAGGGCGCTAGAGGTGAGTGTGCAAAATGTGAGGACCGACTTCCACCAATGGATTTGTGTTAAGAAAAGGTAGGTTTGTGTTAAGAAGGTGTATTTGTGTCAAGAAAAGATGGGTTTGTGTTAAGAAAAGGTGGATTTGTGTTAAGAAAAGGTGGATTTATGTTAAGAAAAGGTCAACATTTATAATGTGGATCTTGCCGGTCAATCTTTTGGTCCATTTATTTTTTACCCCTTCTACTTTTAAACAGGCCGACAATCCTGAGAACCAGAAATCAGAGTAAACTTTTCCGAAGGTTTTTAGTGCGAATTGCCGAATTGGCTATGGTTTTTTTGAGGTTAAGTAGCATCGTAACATAATTTTTCTTCCAAAAACAGTTAAAACACCTTAAAATATAGGCCTTGTATAAGTATTGATTTTTGAACATTTCTTAATAAAAATCCACTGGTGGGATTCGGTCCTCACATTTTGCACACTCACTTACCTCCAGCGCCTGCAATATTTTATTTATTAGCTTATATGCCATAGGGAGATTCTATAAAGGGACGAAGAGACTAAAGCAACAGTATCCAAAAAAACTGAAAAAGTTAAAAAATAATAATTATAATAATAATAATAAATTTTAATAATAACTTTACATATTTCACACACGGCTGTCTGATCCCAAACTAGGCAGAGCCTGTACTATGCTAACCCGCCTGCTGATAAACATACTTATATATTTCTAAACACATACATATTAAAGATAAATTACACCCGAAAACAGAACAAACGATCGTGCTCATCGCACAATATGTGTCCTGGGTGGAAATAGAACCCATGACCCCCCGGCTTAGCAGTCTGGGTTGCTAACCACTAGACCAAGACCATATTAAACCCCATGTTCGGTAGTCAAACGTTTTATGAAAAATATTACAACCATAATAAAATTACGTACATGCATAAATTAAACTACACGGTAGGTATTACACGTCTAACGTCAGGTTAGCCGCGGTCATGGTTATATCATAAAACAAACATTAATTTACGTATGTATAAATATTGTATTCATACTTAAAAGGTTAGGAATGTAGAATGGTATAAAACACCCATCAAAATTACTCAGAAATATAGGACCCTGCACTACAGAAGAGACTGAAGAACAAAACCTATGTAATTTTCTTAATTTCTGACGTGACCATACTAGTAATACATAATAATATGTATGTACATATGTATATGAGTATATACACAGATAAAAGTATATATGTATATTTATATCACTCACTTATCGTCACGAAAAACTTTTTTCTAAACACATCAAGAGCGCAACGTAAGTCAAATTTTACAGCCCCTGGGATAAATTTTAAACGACTTCAAAAAAGAGGAAGTTCTCAATTCGACTGTATTTTTAATCAATGTCGTCTGCGGTATCCGTGGCAACGTGTATGCAAATTTTTGTGTTGATCGGATGAACGATACGGCCCCGCATAAAATACACACATACTTTAATTTTCTATTCATTTAAGATTATAACAAGAAGAACACAGAATATGATATTTGTCAATTGAAATTGTATCAAATTCTCTTAGAATACATAAAATAGTTTTTTCTCCGAATGTCGTCCGGTTAACGTTAATTTTTAAACTTTAGCCCGTTAATGCAAACTTTCTTAGGGTTGTCACTTCACAAATAAATACAGTCTTCAAATGCTGGCGGGCTCAGGTAAACTTAGGGCTTCAACATATTTTTAACCTACTCCGTGATATTACTTATTTATTAAAGAAATGAGAATGACAAAAATAGAAATATTATTCACTTGTTTAAAAAGTGCCAAGTGCCACTATGTGAAAGATCATAAAAAATACACTCGATTTAGCGTTACGTCATCATATAAATTAACATTAAATTGAGGATATGATAATATAAAAATTCAATAACTATAACAAGATACCGAAATACGATTTTATTAGGTCATCTATTCTGGTCTTTTATTCCGTTTCCTTTCATGTGCACCTACTATTTTAACTAACGGATCCTTTCCACACACCCACTACTGGAACTCCTATACACCAGGATCTACAGCAGTGACCCACGAACACACCGAGTAATGACACTCGGGTAGTCCTAGAAAAAGTTAGGAAAGCTACTATATTAATTTGAATTCATAAAAGTGCTTGTCATTTAATGCAATATTATCAAGTCAAGTAAGTGACAGCCCTGATCAGGTCATAACGAGATACCCATTAAGTTTAATTTAAATGCGTGTCGCTATTGAGACTTGCAATCGGAACGGAAGTTATTGAGACACTCAAATAGAGTCATGTCAATATTTATTATTAAATTTAAATTGATATTTGTACATAGTTCCGATACTGATAGTGTGTATAGTGATATTTATTTGGGAGAGAAACAGAACGTAGATCAACAAATCATAGGATTTTATGCCTGCGCCGAGTTTATTTCTTTTATTGGTCACAGATTAAGAATACAGAGTGTCACCACTCCTACAAATTGTTTTTTTTTTATATTAGAGGGGCAGAAGAGCAGATAGGTTACCTGATGGAAAGTGACCATCTCCGCCCATGAACGTCTGCAACTCTGAGGCCGCGTCGCGGGCCTTTTAGGAAGGAGTACGCTCTTTTCTTGAAGGTTTGAAGGTCGTATCGGTCCGGAAATACCGCAGACGATAACCGTGGGTGTCGTAAGAGCCCATTAAGGGACTAAACTAAGCAGAACAAAAGTTTTGCAAAGAGAAGGAAAACTTTACACAAACCGTATACCAACCCGTCTGGCTAGCGTGGTATAGTAGGCCAAAACCTCTGTTCTAAGGAGAGGCTTATGCCCAGCAGTGGACTGTTAAAGGCTGTTGATGATAATATAAGTATTTCTATTTCTTTGGAAGGATTTATCATAAGGATTTCTCATTTTAAGACATCAGTAGATTTCTTCTCGTCGGCAGCAGGTAGCAGTCGGCACAATGTGAGCATTTAATAGGCCTCTTTCTTCTCCTTTGGGGATTATAAGTTAATGTGTATTCTTTATACATTTATACAAAATTAACTCGAATGCGAATCGTATAATTTAAATTTTAGATTTAATAAATTAACACAAATAAATAATAATTTAAGAGGTAAATATACCATGTAGAGTCATTTTAATATTTGTAGATAATTAAACTGTTTTTATCATAAAAACGACAGTCGAAACAGTCCTAGGAAATAATTATCTAATTATAATCTATGATCATCATCATCACAACTACTGCTAATTCTAATTTAACAAAAATAATTGATGTTATGATATAAATATGTATATTATACAGCGTTATTTATTCTTTATCGTCGTTTTTTTCATTTTGATTCAAACATTTATTTAATTAGGAATAATAAAATTGTAAATAATCTTAGAGCATAAAATATTTACTTTATACGAATATACTAACAAAAATAACCGCTTAAGATAAATAGTTAAATAAATATTTCTAAGTTAAATTAAATACATTTTGTATTTATGTGAAAACCATGCTCACCAAAAAGCTTCCGAAAATACATTCCACAAATAAGTAAATTATACACTCAAAAATATATCATAAAACATTGTAGAATGCTTTAGAAATTCCAACTTCAATTACCAAGATGACTATAATGTTGTGTGAAAGAAATCCCGTGTACTAGAGTAATAACAGACTAAGATAGAATGTGGATAAGTAGATACTTACCATTCTTTCATTCATTCCAACTGCATACAGTAGAAAGCTGCATCATTTCATTGAGATCGAGATCCCACAGAGCGCAAGATTTCGCTCGCCTTCTGGGAACGCGCAAAAACAATGGTGCGCGCAAAAACTCGGGATTATTGTTCGACAGATGCGGCGGCGGCGGATGCGCTTGCGACGGACACGCCTTGCCACAACGCAGAGAGATAACCAGTAATTTAAGTTGGGAATTATCGGTGCTGAAGTGATAAGTAGAGAGTAAAAATAAAGTAGTTAATGTTTTATCTGAATTTATTGCATTTTATCTTCTTCAGAGGACATAAGTGGTAGTGTGCTTGAATATATGTGAGATGCAATTCTAATTTAACTCAGTAGTGCATAGATAAATAGGGCACAGCTAAATTTTCAATTCATTTGGAGCTAGTTAGGGAAGACGGTAAGGTAGATAACGTAGTGTTGGTTTTGTCTGCTGTGACATGAGATAGCCGTCCATACAATTAAAAATGTGTGGTGTCGTGGGACACCCGATAGGAACGAAGTTGTGACGATCGAGTAAAACTAATTCGACACGATTTTAATTACAACGCCATCTATGAAAGCGGCTATTACCTACATATTTTTCAGTTGGTATCTAATTAAGACAATTTATACATTGGTAAAATCTCCTTGAGAAATGATTTCCTATCTATTCGATAGATGGCGCTGAATGACTGACATAAAAAGTGTCGTTACAACTTTTCGTGAGAATCTTTTCCGTCTAGCCCCCTTTCACAACGCACGATAAGGAACTTCGTTCCAATAAGGTAACTTTACCTTTATCATTATCTTTACAAATAAAATTAATTGCCCTGACTGATTCAGCAACACAGAGCTTAAACCGCTGGGGCTAAAAAACTAGAAATTTTGTCAGCTGATGCATTTTATGAAACGATTTTTGGAAAATTCAACCCTAAAGGGAACAAATAGAGGCTAACGGTTGTTAGAAACACGAAAAATCAAGCGAGTGAACCCGCGGGCAAGCAAAGCAAAAACTAACTGAGTAGTGACCAATTTTGCTGAATTTTGAAGTGCCGTAAAGTTGAAAATATTATATCGTAGTTTTTTTTCGCAACCAATAGCTGGTTTATACTAAATATTGCTAAAAGTCTACTAAATATTGCTAAAGTCTGGGGGTTTATACTCAATATTGCTAAAAGTCTACTAAATGTGCTACTAAATATTGCTAAAGTATAAATATAAAAGCATTATCTATACTAATAGGTAATGCTTTTATATTTGGACTACTGCGTATTCTACATATTGTCTCACAATTTTGAAGTCACACTCAAAACGTTTACGACCCTCGGCCACGTTTTAATAGAACTTTTATTGATTATTGTCTTAAATTTTAACGCTATGGTTCTTTTTGTAACTGTTTTCACATAAAAGTTTACACGAGTTGTAGGACAATGTAGAACAATGCGTCATTGATTTACAAAATGTTTAATACACGCTTTCAGGCAAGAAATATCATAAAAATAAATACAACTCGAGACACGTCACACACAGACGTCTAATCATATAAGGGGCAACATGTATCATCACATCAACAGCCTATAATAGTCCACTGCTGGACTTAGGCCTCTCCTTAGTCTAATACTATAATAATAATAATATATTCTACCACATACACACAACGCCATCTAGTCCCAAACTAAGCAGAGCTTGTACTATGGGTACTAGACAACTGATATAAATACATATATACTTTTTTTTTGTAAATACATACATATTATACATAGAAACACCCATACCAAATCAAACATCAAATGTTCATGCACACAAATGTTTGACTTGAGCGGGAATCGAACCCGCGACCTTTGGAATAGCAGTCCATTACACAAACCACTACGCCATCCAGTCGTCAAATACTAGACTATAGTCTAATTTATATATATAAATAACCAACTTACCATGTCTGAGTGATTCATCAACGTAAAACCTAAACAGCTTGGGTTTAAAACTGGGCAGGTGATGCTTTTTATGTCATCAACACCCACTAAGAAAAGATTTTTGAAAATTTCATCCTTAAGAGGTAAAAGTTAATTGAGGTAATTGATGAACGGTTTTGTGGAATGCCGTCATTTTAAAAGTTTAGTTAGAAATGCAAAATACGAAATTATGGCGATTCCGAAACTGCGGACAATAAGTATATATAGGTACTCATATATATATATATACTTTTTTTTTGTAAACACATACATATTATACATAGAAACACCCAGATTCGATTCCCGCTCAAGTCAAACATTTGTGTGCATGAACATTTAATTTTTAATTTGGCACCCAGACCAAATCTTTTTTTATAACCCGATTATTTTATAAACCGAATTTTTATATATAATATGTATGTATTTCCAAAAAAAAAGTATATATGTATTTATATCAGTTGTCTAGTACCCATAGTACAAGCTCTGCTTAATTTGGGACTAGATGGCGTTGTGTGAATGTGGTACAATATTATTTATTTATTATTTGAAGGAATTCTAGCGAAAGCATTCCTGAGAATATAAAACTAAGCCAGTCAAGTTAGGTCTTCGTAAGTAGAAGGATGACGATCCTGCATCTATCACAAGAGAGGAGAATAACCACTGTCCAGTCAAGACTCTTCTGTTTCACCAATTAACTAATTATAGATTTAATAAGAAAGTAGTATAAGTAAAATTAGGCTTATTCAAGTATGATCCATATTCCAATTCCAATAAAGCTCATAACTCAATTGTATGTTCATGCTATATACGGATTTGTGACTAATTCCCTATATCTGAACCTTGTGGCTTCCTTTAGTAATGGTCTCAATCTCACGACCTTTACTTGGCGGAGATTACCGCTACATACAATCACATATTGAAATGTGCACACGTCGAAATCAAGCAAAGATTAAAGATAGTGATTTGGAATCAAAATTATTAGTTGAATCGCGATAATGATTCAAAGTTTTGCTAGGTAATTTTCAAAGTAGGATCTTAATGGAAAAATGTACTGAAGGCCAATTCTCGTGATAAAAGTTCGGTTTCAATTCAGTTCCGATCAACTTTCGATCTCAAAACTGTCATAAAAGGTAGAACTAGCAGATAACCGATTAAATTTTCGGTTACAATACGACATAATCACATACATACAGTGAACTTTGGAAGTTTAATACTTTACTACGAAAATACCTTTTAGGACAGTTGTGAGATTTAGTCGTTAATTAGTAATCATCATCATCATCATCAGCCTATCGCAGTCCACTGCTGGACATAGGCCTCTCCCATTGCACGCCACTTAGATCGATTTTGGGCTTCTCGCATCCAGCTCCTGCCAGCCATCTTGCGCAAATCGTCACTCCACAATTCAAACTTTAAAATTATGTGTACCTCGGGCAGACATAATTAGTAATATCCGTGTTCATTTGTCAGTTTCTGGTAATACATTCTACAAACCTGCAGTTTATATTGTGTACGGATAATAAGAAAACTTTATGGAATGCGTCGAAATGGAACTTTTAGATTTGATGTTTCAATTACAAATTGCAATAAATTCGAGATACGAATGGAATGTATATCGTCACGTTTGTGTAAAAATATAATACGAACTCTTTATAGTATCATGTAAAAGAAACCTATCCAAAAAGGGTAAATGACTTTACATAAAAACGTGCTAATCCTTTAACATTATAAAAATAGGCGTTAGCCAATTAAAAAAAAAACTTTTTTTAATAAATAGTGTTCCTTTTTCAACCACATTCCTGGCAACACAATAGCACACCAGGTACTGTAACAATGGCTGGTGAAGCGGATGCATCCGGCGCCAAACAAGGGATGAAACATGTGCGTGCGCAAGTGTACGATCACGTCAATAGGAGAAATTAGAGCTGTCCTTTTATAAAGGTACTTGGTAAATATCCGGTATTCATCAAGTCCTTATAGGTTGTGAGAATAAATTATAGCAGAGGTTTTCAGAATTGTTGCAAAAAATTTCATTGGAAATTTAGTTGGTTACTTTCAATAATAAGTTTTTACAAATTATGGTTACGAGGTAAAGTTTTATTTGATATTATTTCGTGTCAAATTTGAACTGTGAGGAGAGCTGATGCAGGTAGGCTCGAAAGTCGTATTTTGACTAGTTTCGGAGAATATTGAAAAAGGGCAGCGTTAAAAATCAACGAGCGTGTATAAAATGTAGGCGGGTGCTATATATTTTAAGGATCATGATAAAGGCGTTCTACCATATCTGCCTACCCAAGATAGGAATAAGGTGTGATATATGTATGTTCGTATGTATTTGCGTAAGAAATTCTGCTTCGTAAACTACGAAAAAGAACAATTAAATTTGCGCATTTTTAACCGTTTTAATAAAGAAACCACCTACCAAAAAATAGTTTTTTATAAAGTTATAAAAACATTTCTTCATATTTTGAATTACTAAATTGTTTCATAGTTTTTTGCTTAAACGGGAACGTAGACAGGCGCCCCAAGCGACAAGCTCGCCCCGGGCACGTGCGCCTGGGTGAATACGCCACTGCAGATACGGGCTTATCACAATGTATTGTCGTTAGATATCCTAGTCATAGTCCCCAGTGGGACTATTCCAATCCTTGTCCGCGTTATGTATATGGTTCATTTGTTTATCATGTCACTATTATTTGACATATTGTGTATGCTTTTTCTTTTTTAACCGACTTAAAAAAAGGATTCGGTTGTCAAATCAGTTTTATTTTTCAACGTTTGTTATCTAAGAACCGATTTGAAAAATTCTATGTTGAGGAAATAATGGTGAAAAATTAACGAGTGCAGAAAATACTTTATTACAATTTATTATTATGTAGGTGCATTAAACTCGATGCAACTTTTTTTTAATTTAATTGGTGGCTCCATTTCTGATTCCAACTAGAGCCATAAAGAAAAAAGAAAAATAACATTTATTTCTAACTCACTGTTACAGTCTTGTGGTGTCGATACTTTGTGACTCGCCGATTCCACTCGAGTTTGATTAGATTTAGATAAACAAATATAGGTACAAATTTAGTAGAAATGGTACTTAACAAAACATTCAGCTCAATTTACCTCAATTATACATATATGGGTGTGTGTGTGTGTTTGAGTGTGTGTGTGTGTGTGTGTGTGTGTGTGTGTGTGTGTGTGACAGGCCAAAAAGGAGCCGTCAAAGCGTTTAGTTCGACTTTTTTGTGACAATGTAAGGATGATACTACTTACTTAAGAGTCCCATAAGACATATTGAGATTTCAATTATTTCAGAGACCTTTCGAAGTTTGATTGTATTAGGCATTCTGGTGTTTAACCGTGGACTTTAATAGTAGAAGCTAAGAAAGTACTTCAGAGTACTTTCTTACCGTTTAGATTCATCATCAGATGATCACATCAACAACCTTTAACAGCCCACTGCTGGACATAGGCCCCTCCTTAGAAAGGAGGTTTTGGCCTACTATACCACCATTGGCCGTCTGGCCAATGGTGGTATAGTAGGCCAAAACCTTAGTCGGCTCTTACGACACCCACGGGACTAATAGAGGGTGGTGACACTCGGATCCGTATTCTTAATCCGTCACCTTTTTACTTTAGAAGATGGTTTAATTTTCGCGGATCCCAGTTGTTTATTCTGGTTCTCCAAGATCACAGTAGTGGTTTTCACAGTTCTAATGTAAGTTTGTTTGTCTGCAGGAATGCTGAAACACGTGGCGGTGTCGCCGCATCGCGCGCGTGCCGACTCCGTCAGCCTGGCCTCGTCTGCCTCGTGCTGCAGCCTCGGCAGCTTGGACAACAGGCACGACTCCGTCGGTGATCTGTCCCACAGAACGGTGAGTATATCGAGTATACAGTATGAACTTAATCTCGTGAAGTTTTGAAGAAAAGAAAAAAAAAATTGCAAAAATAATTCTCTGTTAATTTTAATTAATACTTACAAACAATCCTTTTTAGATAAATTATATTTTTAGATAAAGGCGAATAAATAAATAAATTATAAAAAAAAAACAAAAAAAAAACAGTAAAGAGGCTGGCACCCATCGTCGCTCCACTCCAAAACCCACCTCAAAGGCTGGTAATGTACTAGTGACTCTTTGCTTGCTTGTCCATGGCCGCTGCTAGTCAATTAAGGTCAGCTGACCTTTCTGCTCATTAGCCGCCTATGTCATAAAAAATGACAGGCAGGATACAAATTCTCCCAGGTTCTCTAGTGTTATATAAGTTAAATCAATTAATCAATCAACCTACTTCAGTCCACTGCTGAATATCTCTCTCTCCCTCTCTCTCTCTATACTCCGACTTTCGCATCCAATCTATCCCAGCTGCCTTTCTCAGGCCATCAATCCAACTGACTGGGAGGCACTCTACCATGAACTTATCGCGGTCTCCACTCAATATAACACATTACTACTGTTGTTAATTAAAATGTAATATAAACCAATAAATAATATCCGACCAGCAAGAATTACAAAAAAAAATTGTTTTAATCGTCTACGAGAGTTATTAAGAAACTTTACGCGCGCGATACGAAAGTGCATACTTCAATAAAAAGTTGGTGATTGGTGGCATTGTTACTTGACACTTGAAGTTATCTACTGCCACGTTACACGCAAAAGTAAAATGCCTATACTGTTTGCGATTGGTGTTTATCGGAAAGCTGGAATCCATGATAATACTCGTATGAAAGTAATATTAGTTTTGGAGTTTGAAAATTGAAGTATTTTAAGTATTCATTGCTGTACTAGCTTAAGTTTTCATAATTTTGTTCAGCCGTCAAACACTTTCTCGTCCAACTTAAAAACTTGAAAAAAGACATAGACAATAGGGAGTTACTCCTCGATATATCTGCAGTGAACACACTACTGATGGAACAGGTATTAATATTAGGAACTGTTATTTTTATTACAACAAGTAATTACCATTTAAATTGCGTACATAAATCAAAAACAAACTATATTAATACATCTCAGATGACAGTGATATGACACCATGCGTGCACATCATCATTCGATTTCACTTTCTTGTCTTCTAATAGCGGAATTTCCTATAGTTCCCATAAAGATAATGGCATGGGAACCGAACTTGGAGCCACTCGTCTTCTAAACAACAGGAAATACTTTGTGTGGTTATCAGTTATTGTATTCGAATATGTTAATCTAGCTATTATGGTATATTAATACCATTAAAATGTGTTTATAGAGAAAGTACAGATTTAACTATGTGGCTCAAAAGAAATAGAATTAGTGTTCATAGAACCCCATGAAGTTTAATTATTCAAAGTCACTCCTATTTAAGTTTTAATCATTTGATTCCACTCTATAAGGTACAATTTTTGATTCCCTAGGACTAATCATTATTCTGAGATTAGTACGATCATTTGTTACATAATTTTGACTGCACGGATGGCGTAGTGGTTTAAGCGGTTGCCACGCCGTTTCCTACTACGCGGAATGTTGTGGGTTCAAACCCCATATGGTACGACACTTTGTGTGATCCACAAATTGTTGTTCTGAGTCTGGATGTTCTTTTTGTCCGTTTCATGTATGTTTGTAAAGTCCCCCGCGACACACGGAGTTGTCTTAAAAAAAAAGTGTAATTTATCTATGTTATGTATGTGTTTTGAAATATATGAGTGTGTTTATCAGCAGTTTGGTTATCATAAAACAGGCCCTGGCTAATTTGCCTATTATTATATTATATTACATAAGTACAACGTGGTTAGGTTTTTCTAATGTGGTTTCAAGACCACGATAGTTCATACAAGTTGACGAAATACTTTTTATGCTTGTGCAATGGGTTTCGAGGTTTAATTTTCCTTATTTACCATAGACAACAAATATTACGCTACATATTTCATATTGTTTTTTTATTGACCAATATGATTTGTCATTATTTCTTTTTAAACAATTACTTAAAAAAAAGATATTTGTATTCATTTATTTTATTCATTAGTTACTCTTAAAGAAGGAAATATCACTTGGTTTCCGTGAATTCCGTAGGTATATCCATTCAGAAAGTCATTTTCGCCGCCAACCATATTGCAATAATCACATCGTGAACGAAGTATAAAATTTATATTTTAATGATGGCTTTTGTAAGTATCACAACGTTAAATATCCACAAGATTAAATTATTTGATTTCGTTTCGTTTCATTTGGACTCATTATTTCTTAATAAGTATGATAAAATTGTATAACTACATATTGTATTCAAAACAAAAGATATGTAAATGGCGCAATTCTACCATTATTTTTTATAATCTGTGATCTAATAGTGCATCCACTCAAACAGCGCTACGAGCAAATTAGACCAAAGCCGAAGGTCTTTGCCGAAGTTGTACTTTTATTAAATTTGTGTTATCTGTGACATATGAGTACGATCTAACTTCAAAAAAGTCTAAAGTCTAGTCTTGTTAAAATCTTCCTCTAAAAAGTGTGATCATTTGTTTTTTATCTAGGTTTTTAACAATTATAGTAAGTTCTTTTTCGACATTTTGATATATCTGGATTATTTTGATAAAGTATAACAGGACAAAAATTAAGAACATATGCATTTTCAAACTTTCTTCATAACTAAATCGAAGATTTAAGAAAAGGTGTTTACTACATTTAAATGTTCTTTTACTAAAAAAATATTGTCAAGGTCACTTTCTGTATGCGAAAATGCTATTTATCGGTATCTAGTTAATGTTTTAGAGAGTAATCTTGTGTAATTCTCATATCATCAATTTGACACTTGCGCAAATCAGACGCCGCCGACGCCATGTTGCGCTATGTCATATAAATTAACAACAATCTTATAATTAAAGTAATCTTTATTTTCGACATAACTATTTATATTATTCACACACCAGCTTATTTTTTATTACGAAAAATAAATTGTTGTCTGGACTGCAGCCAGCAAGGTCTTCTAACTGTTTCTTGTAATATAAAACCGAAAATTTTCAACATAATTCCTGGGAACTTCTCACAATAAGACAATTTCGGCATTGGGTTCAGTCATTATCACGCTTCTAATTAGCCACGACACTGAGTTAGATGGCCAGCCAAGATACGGAGATGTTTTCTCGATTGTTCGCGACTGTGAATTTCGTTAGTTACCTTATTGTTTCACGACCAAGAAAGCGGTGTGATCTCTAAACAGTGTTCTGGCCGACATTTTGGATCGTTACCGTCTTTGTAACGCACCTTCATAAGTAGTAAAGCTCTGGCTAATTATGCATGAGGTGTTGTTATGAAAAAAGTTTCGAATTTTTCACATCGTTCACCTCAAAGTTGATTGTTGTGTTCTAATCTAAAAGTTATTGTAGAAGAAACTATTCTTAAATGTGTGAGAAACTTTATTAACGTGAATATAAAATTTTATTAACGATTTTATTCCACGATATCTGCAGCAGTAAGCAAGACGTAGAAACTTGGTTTTTTACTATTCTTCGCAATGTGTTCAAAAGGAACCATAGATTGCTCTGAAGACAATATAACATATAGTAAAATAAAAAAAGGTGAACTAAAAAATAAAGCTTCAGATACACCGGCCAGTATTAAGGGCTCTTACACGAACCGTCTGAGTTTTTATAAAATTCGAATTAAATTAAAATGGATCTATGACTAATCAAAATTGAAATAACCCAAAAGTACAAAAAAATGTTATAAGTACATTACTATGACATGACGTGTCAACAAAGCCTAAAGCATATTTGGTGATGATATTCTTTCATTGAATTTGAGATGTTTCTTTATTTAACAATAGTTTAACAAAATTTATACATTAGGGTTTTTATAAATCTTATATTACAGCACACACAGCTTTGTTTAGGTATTCTTACATATAGGTATGTAGTTGTGTACCTAGAATATAGTTAATATATATTATTTCTTTATGCTGAGAGTTTGTGAATCTGTGAATTGTAGTAAGGGTAATTCCCCGTTTTTTTTATTTAAGTCAATCTCCTGAGTCAACCATTTGTTTTTCAGTTAACCATAAACAAAATCTAAACTATACAATTATACATATAGTGTAGGATACAACACAGTTTTTTATACCACAATATTTACCAATATATACTCATAGTTTTATGATTAGGTTAGTACTGTTACAACGCGGGGAAGTCCTCTAATTTCTCAAGTTATTAAATCAGGATTTGCCAATAATTCTAAGAAATTTCGATTAGTGATGTCAACGGAAATGTGACCGATAAGGAATTATATGTGCAGTTAATAACGGCCTGCGATGTTTTATGTGCACTGTGCAGGTACGGCCAGGTACTGTTGTAAAGTGACGCATGCGTCACGTTACACGTACCTAAAGATCTATGCGTAGATGTATCTATGCGTATTTATGATGTGTAAGTGTAGTATGTGTGTATATGTTTATATATGTAGTGAACCGTATATATTTTCATTGTATATTTGATATTATGATTACAAGATTTCTACATCACCCAAAGGTTGACTGGAAGAGAATGCCCTGGGCATTAAGTCCGCCGATGTACAAAAGTGCATAAAGATAAATAAATAAAGATGTATTTTTTTCATATAAACTTAGAGTACAATGCTACAATAATTTTGTCGGCATCTTTCTTGAAAAAATAATAGTTTAAAAAAACACGCTTTTTAAAGAAAACCAAACTAAAAAATAGAAAATAAATTTTAATAAATTTGAAAAAAAAGCGTTGGGTGCCTGTTGTCAATAGTAAAAAGTGTTTTTTAGTTTTATTAAACTATTATTATTATTATTTTTTTACATTAGTGTATTGTCATCGGTCCTCGATATATCTACAAAGTTTGAACGAATTCTGACCGTTTAAAATCAGTCAAAATCACGCCCAAAGGAGTCGGTTACAAACAAACATTCAAGTGAAGTTAATATAAAGCGTGTAAAAAGATCAGTCTGTCGGATATTTGTAGGTCTATGTATGTATCTATGGAATGGATATGAAGACGGTCTCTGTCAACGGTTGTTTTAATGTCTTCCTAGCTATCCTAACACGCGTCATGGTGAATCTTTCTTTTTAAATAATAATGGAACTTGTGGACAGTTACCAACGATGACGACATTTCTGTGAAAAAATATGTTTTTCTTAAAAATAATAACTTAGAGAAAATGGAATATTACATGTTATAGATAATCCAATTAGAAAAAATTAAACAAAAATGAGACGGTGTTTTTGGTAAGCATCTCACTTAGACAAGTTGTAAAAAAACAAAGAATAATAGAAAGAGTTGTCGAAAAAAATGAAAGTGTGGGAACAGAGAAAGGGTTCATTCAATGGAATGAATACGATTAAAAAATTACTTAAAACCAACAGGATAACGCTTGCCGAGTCAGCTTGCTACTAATTAAAAATCTATTGTTTATGAATTAGTAACACCTACATGTATACTGTTGTATACTTTATTTGTTCAGCCTATTTAATAGAGCTGACCTCGTTAGTCGATTATTTAGATATCGAATGATTATTTATCTAGAATTTCATTGTTATTTTTTGTTCATGTTTAAAACAAGTTCCACAGATGGAGATGGTGACCATATGTACTCTGTTTATGGCTTTAATAGCCACCTACATAATA